ACACACTATCTCTAAAAGAACACTAGCCAAAGAGTTCCAGACTCCACAGCCATGAGATCTGGGGAGTGGAGACCTTCACGCATGTTTGAGCAAATAGGACATCTACCTGCCAGCTACTCTGAATGGAGTGATTCTTATCAGAGGCCACGTGTGCAGTGTCCCAGGGCAGAACTGCAGGGTGGAGGGGTGGGTAGGGTGAAAGGGTGAAGTGGAGGTAGAGTGCAAGACAATAAACAGACACTAAAAATTCAAGTTAAAGAATGGCGGTTGAGATGCACAGAATTGTGTCTGCATTCACACAGCAACATCAAAATGCATGGGAACAAAATTTCCAGACAGCAGGCCCAACTCACTTCCCTGAGGGAGGTGTGCTCAGTGACCCGTTTGGGCTCGAAGGCCAACACAGGAGGGTGCTGCATCGTGTGGCTAAGAGAACAGGCTTTAGAATGGGACATGCTCGAGTTTAAAGGCCAGCTCTGCCATTTTTCCAATTTTGTGACCTTCAAAACTGTTTGGCTCCCTAAGTCCCTTCCTTTTCATCAGTGAAATGGCTTTTGTTCTTTCCTCATTGCGTGGCTGTAAATATTAAATATGGTAATGAGGGCAAACCTAAGAGTGTCTTCTCCCTACTTAAAATCCCCACAGACTCCCTTGTTGGGTAAAAATGAGCCTCCTTAACTTGGCCTACAAGGGCTGGCAGTGGAGTGACCCCACCCACCTCGCCAGCCTTCTCCTGCTCCCTGCTTGCACCACCGTCACCATTCTCTGCACTCCAGCCAAGCTGGTCCTTTTTTCAGACCTCTATTCTCGCTTCTGCCTCTAAGCCTACCCATTTGCTTTTGCCTCTGCCTTGGAACAATCTCCCTTCCCCTCTTCAAGCAGTTAACATCTATTTATTCTGCAGATTTCACCTCATGTTATCTTGGGTGGGCAGTTAGAAGCTCAGGCTCTAAAGACAACTCATCAGGTTCAAAATCCAAACCCCATTACTCACTATGTGTGTGACTTTTGCCACCTAAGAGTCAGCTTCCTTCCTGCAAAACAGGCATGAATACTAGCACCTACATCAAACAGTTGTTGCAAGGATGCAAAAACATGTGACAGTCCCAGAACAAAGCCTCACACATACATGGGGAGCACCAGAAAACTGCTCTTGTCAGTCTCCAAAGGCCTCCCTTCCATATCACTTGTCTCGGTTGCAACTGTATGTTTGTGTGATTATTTCCATATGCCCAACTCTCCACTAGAATGAAGCTGCATGGGGGCAGGAGTTTGCCAAGGTTCAGTCCACATTATAGATTCATTCAGTTCCTCACAGGATAGACACTCAAATATTTGCTGAGAAATACATGAATGAAAATGCTGAGCATAGTGCCTGACACACAGTGGGACCTCAATAAATACTAGCTTTTAAATAACCTACTGATAAAGCCAATCAACATACAAAAAATTAATGTTCACATTACCCAGCGGTTCTCAACATTTATCCCCCCAGGGACATTCGCCTATGTCTGGACAAGGCAGGAAGGGGAGCAAAAGGGGTGCTACTGGCATCTAGTGGATAGAGGCCAGGGAGGCTGCTAAACACCCAATGCACAGGGCAAACTTGCCACAACACAGAATTATCCAGCACAAAATATCAATAGTACTGAGGTTGAGAAACCCTGAATTTTGCCTCCTGTTAATTTTCCCTAATTGCTTAATTCACCAGTTAAATAACAGCAGGCAAATCCAGCTTAAGGTAATCACTCTTGCCTTTTATCCTGTCCTTTCCTGTGGGTACAAGGCCATTCTTGCCTCTCCCTCTATTAGCCTAGCTGGACAGTCTCATTCCTTCTCATCCCTGTGGAAGGTATGAGGTGAAAATGTGGATGAGACTGAGGAAAAGCACACACTCCAAGACACCTCCCATTTTGATCCCTCTTCTATGTCATATACGTATTCCTATTTTCAGTAGCACTATCAACAGAAGCTAAACGTAGGCACCACTACTTGACTTTCAGGACAGAACTCTGTTTCAAATATGCTTCAGAAAAGTTCATGTAGTGCAAAAAAAAAAAGATAGGGAGGGGCCAGCAGGTACAACCTCTCCTAATATAGAGGTTGCTCTAAAGTACAAGAGAATTTGCTCCAACAATAAATGCTGTACTCAAAAATTATCAAGTGTGGGCCGGCCGAGTGGCGCGATGGTTAAGAACTGGTTTGGGATGCCAGAGGGCCCCGGTTCGGATCCCACATATGAGGGCCAGTGACACTGCCCTCCACAGCTAAGATGCTGAACAACAGCTCAACCTGGAGCTGGGCTGCTGTGAGTCGCCGGCAACGGCGTAGGCTGCACTCCCTGTGGCAGTGGGTTGCCATGGGCTACCGTATGTAGCCAGCAGCCAGCATGAGCGGCCAGCAGCCGCAGTGAGCGGCCATCCAGAAAGCCGGCGACTGATCTGCCTCGCCCGGGAAGAGCGTAATGATGGTGCCAACTTGGGCCAGTGAAGCAACATCCTCCACAACTAGACTGAAGAACAAAAGGACAGCAACTTGTCTTTTCCCCTTCCCCCAATTCCCCAACACTGTTCCCATCCCCCCAATTCCCCAATTAAAAAAAAAAAGTTCAAAAAAAAATTATCAAGTGTAATGTCACATGGATGAATTATAGGAGCTGAAAAAAAACAAAAACAGGATAGTGGAACAAAATTGTCCTGAAGTAGCAACCCAGATGATGTCAAATGTACCGGTATACACAAATGCTAGAAGTTAATATAAATTTTAAAATCGATTACACAAAATGACATGTTCACAATGGTTAAAGTACGTCAAACAGAAATTACAAATGTTGGTGAGGATGTGGAGAAACTGTAACTCTCATACACTGTTGGTTGGAAGGCACAACGGTTCAGCCACTGTGGAAAACAGTCTGGCAGTTCCTCAAATAGTTAAATGTAAAATCACCATATAACCCAGAAATTCCACTCCTAGATATACCCAAAAGAATTGTAAAATGATAAACAAGAACATGTACAAACATATTCACAGCAGCACTATTCACAAGAGCCAAAATGTTGAAACAGCCCAAACGTCCATCAACAGATGAATGGATACACAAATTGTGCTATATCCATACAATGGAATATTTTTCAGCCATAAAAAGTATTGATACATGCTATAATATGGATGAACCTAAAAAAAAGTATGCTACTAAAGGAAACTCACATATGATTTCATTCATATAAAATATCCAGAATAGATAAATCCATAGAGACAGAACACAGGTTAGTGGTTACCAGGGGTTGAGGGAAGCAAAAGATGCAGAGAAATGCAAAAAAACTTTAATGGATAAGAGTTTTTACCCATTAATATAGATTACAATCTCATTTAAATTAAGATGGAAATGTTTTGGAACTAGACAGGTGTGCTAGTTGCACAACACTGTGAATGTATTAAATGCCACTGGATTATTCACTTTAAAATGGTTGATTTTATGTTATTTAAATTTCATCTAATAAATTGTTTTTTAAAGTATGCCAAAATTGCACAAAATTGACAAACATTAAAAGAGAGAATACTTCACAATGGAAATAGATGTAGTAGCCTGAGGGATTGTAAACGACTTATTTTTGCAGTCTTAATATAACTATTTTTTCAAGTAATACATATTGGTTATAAAAACTTTGGAAAACATATAAAAGCACTAAAAAGAACATAGAAGGCACTATCAATGATATTTCTAGTTTTTCAAAATATTCTTTAATATCAATATTAAATTACCTTTGCAATAAAAAAGAAAATAAGACCCAATGCATTAAGTAAGATAAACCCACACAGTTGAACATTTATTTCTGCCAAAGCTTTTATTGTAAGCTTGTTTCTCTCTATGGGCAGAGGCAAGAGGCTGGGGGACCAAGAGTTGCCAGGTAAGCAGTTAAGTCTGTGATTTTTTTTGGCTACAGCCTCTCTTCTATCCTCCAATCGATCACCAACCAGTGTTCCTGGCTCTTATCAGACTGGCAAAGCCTGGTCTCCATGGGACAGAGTTTGAGAGGGCCTCCTTCTCTGTGCCTAAGCCATTGACCTTCCATGAAAGAGACTGGAATTTCTATTTTTCCCACCTGCACAGTCTCTTTCCTGCCCACAGCAAGAGGTCTTCATAAATCACTATACTATTACATTCTGGGAATAGGGAAATGGCAGCTTAGGACCCTTGACTTCATGAAATAGATCATTATCTCCAAAATATTTGCAATTGATGGTGAATTGTATGTCTCACCTGCCATCCTTGTAAACCTTTTGGAGTATGAACATGAACAACATGAAAAAGAAACAGAAGAGCAGAAATCCCATGTCAGCAAATGCTTCCTGGGACCACCCCTGAGTGCATCTGCCAAGAAACAAACACTGAGCTTTGAGATTTGTGGGCAGGAGTATTGGGGTGGGGGACAGCGGAAAGGGTCTTCTTAGGAACAAGATCTGTGAGCAGCCAAAAACAGCAGGATTGGGCTGAGAAGAACTTGTTTGGTGACAAAGAGGCAACAGAGAACTAGCCAATCCCACAGTAATGGCCCTTCAGAATGGTCCCAGATTGGAGCCAGGACCTGAACCTTTGCACCACCAAATTGGCCAGCCACTGGATGCGGCTGCCTCCCCCAAGAGGGCTCAAAACTTTGGGAGGTGGCTCTCGTCTTCCCTTGCCCACTGATTCACCAAGGGAGACACAGCTGGTGGCCAACAGAAGGTGAAGGAGCAAGGGGGGAGGGGGACTCTGGATGGCTCATCACCCCCCAGAAACCAGCTGAGCAGCTGGAAATGGAGCTGCACTCACACTGGCTGCAAAACCTATGAACTAGCTTGGCTCAGAGCAGAATAGACATGTTACCAGTAAACCATCAACTATCAAGGGCTCATGTTGTAACCAGCACTGGGGTGATACTGTCTAAGAAAAGACTCAGGAACACCATCCTGATTCACAGATTCAGGGGCTTCGTTTTGAATATTCACACTTACCTTAATCTATCAATGGCTTCTCTCTCAATCCAAATTTATCATCAACACTTCAGTTTCAATATCCCTCCTCTTCTTTCAACAGTTGCTCCTGTTCTTGCAGCAAGACTGTCCTCAATGAGTCACCTCTTCCTGATTAAAAAGACCAGATATTAAAAATGTGTCAGTATCCAATAGAGATTTTCTACCTTAAGAAATGGTAGGACCAAAAGGGCACCCCCCAAAAAAATGATAAAGGAAATAAAAATAGGTAACTGTCAGAATCATCAATGTTGAGAAGAAAAGCTAGTGGATTTTCCATTCCTCCCTGGCATGGGAAGTCTGTCCCATGGTGGATGGGAGGTACTGATTCCTCTCCATTTCTCCAGGGAACCTAGTAATAATGGTTTCCCCCAAAACAGCTGCTTGAGGAAACATGACCACAGCAGTTAGAGAGAAGAAGCCTAGCCAGCTGGCCTTGCCTCTGCTTCTTGATGTGCATGATATGCAGACCCACAGAATCCACAGCAGTATCCCACAAAACAACACAACCAAGAGAAGGAGAGGAGAGAAAATATTTAGTCAAACGCTCATTGTTCTCTCATTCTGTCTTGCCATGGCATGCAAGCAGGAGTTATGAATACAAGCCTAAAAAAGAAGTGAATTATGTTCATCTTATACCAAGCAAAGCACTTCAAGCTTCTTCACATTGTATCATTTATTTCTCAACCCAAAACCTGCTCCAGTCAAGACTTTAGAGCCCAGTTGCCTAGAATGGAGTCTGGTTTTACTCTGGGCTACATAGAGGTGGCTACGGCATCCAAGCAAGGACTTGACCGAAGAGGAATTTCAGGCCTTCAGCAAAGTACATTCCCATATAAACCAAAATGGCCACCAGATGTGAGACACTCATACCCCAAGTTCTGAGAAAATGGAAAAGTCAAGATGCACTCATGAATAATTTGGTATCATTGAATTTCTCCTGGGACACTGTGTCCTGCCTGTAAATATTAACCAAATCCAATTCTAGGTGGCTTCTGGAACAAGGCAAGTAGTCAGAATTTATTCAGGCCAACATCTGGAAGCATACATGTTCCATAGTTAACTCTGTGAAAGAGACAAGTCACCTCACCCACACCCTCTTCTACCACCAGCCTAAAACCTTCACAGCACAATATGTCTCTAAGATACCTTAAGATAGCGTCACAAAATTGGACACTGGCTGGCAGCCATCATCTCCCAAATTTCCCAGACTTGGGTAGTTTTTTAGGGCATTAAGCATCTAATGGCCATAAATACTTCATTTAGTGCTTTTTTCCTAGTGCATTGCGAGAAGTTCACTCTTCAGCCCTGGATTCTGCCAAGGATCCCATTTCAACCTCTCATCTAACATCTGGAGAAATTTCATCAAAATCTTTTATTAAGTTTTTCCCCAAATGCTCAGTGTTTGCAGAGTATTTTGCAATAATTTAGTAGCCTTCTCCCAAGTCACCACCTAGAGAAAGGAAATTGCCCTCTCGCTATCAACCCTTACATTGCAGAGGCAGACACTGGAGACACATGAGAGGTTCACAGCTAGTTGCCAAGATCTTTCTGGAATAAGAAATGAAGTGTGAATCTAGACTTTCAGACCTCTACCCCAGGACCCATCCCACAGACACAGAAGGGACAGCTGACTCCACTGATAAGGGGACTAGTGAGTGAGGTGTCTTCCCTTTTGGCTGGTGATAGCTCTTGATTTTCCTGTCTGTAGACTTTCTTATACAGACAAAGGCCTATACTGAAGTGTTTTAAGGTTTTGCTTATCAGCAAGAAGTAACATATTAGTTACCTAACATATTGGTAAATTTTCATGTTATATGGACAACCTGGTATCACCTACAAAAAGAACAGGTCCTGAAACAGCAAGACCTAGGACAGGTAAATTTGGATAATTAGGCTCAGAAGGAAGAGTAGAGTGATCCACAGTAGGGGGTGATCTAGGACCCAAATATGTGAAACAGTAAATGGGGTAACGATGAGAGTGGGAGCGAGGGGATGAAGGTACCAGACACTTGCCTGGTTTGAAATGAAGCGGGAGGACACGAAGAAGTGAAAACCAGGTGTGGCTGAATTGACCGGTTTTCCCGGGGCCAGCACTGCCATTACTAGTATACAAGGAGGAGACACCAGCAGAAGGGTGATGTGACTGGTTCGCAGGTAATGTTTTTGACACCCTGCCCTCATTGGCATGACTCTTAAGGAAAAGGGACGATAAGCTCTCAAAGAGCTGTGAAATTGGGTTGAGTATTGGGAGCAGAGCAGGAAGAAAGGTGGGAAAAAGGTTTCAGCAGCTCTCCCAGTTGGGGGGGAGTGAAGCAGGTCCGAGGCCCTGGAATTTTCCACTGGGTGACCAATCCTGGGCCCATCTCCTGGAGACAGGCATCCCAGCACAGGACACTCTGTGTCCAAGCATCTATGAGGGCCTCTCTAAGCCTATCTGGGGTCTCTGATCTCAGAGGGAAAGAGGGCACATGAGGAAGAGCTGGCAACATCACATGGCCCTCTTCTGATCTGGGCGTGAGAAATATGTTTATCAACTTCACAACACTCTTCCTAGTTCTCATCCTCTCTCCCCACATCGCCCCTGTGCTCCCTCTAGGACTGTCAGGGCCAAATTGTTAAGAGATAAGGCTTCTTTGTTTGATAAAATATAATTATTGAGTGGTACATTGATAAATCTTACTGTAAAAAAAATAAATGTAAGTATTCAAAGTAGTCTGTGGGTTCCCTTCTACATACACTCTACATTCCAGCTTCACTACTTTTCTTGGTCTTATCCTCACTTCCTGGGACACGCGAATCTTCATGCTGACCTCTGGCTGCTTTAGCTCCTATCACAATCCATCCCCAAGCGACAGGGCCAGATGCTCCTGACCTTTTCTGACACCGTCTCCTGATAATCTTTCCTATCATTCAAACTTACTGTCCTGTGTTCCATTCCCTGAGGACTTTTTGCTCAGTGCTGTCGATTCTGATAAACTAACCCACTCCAAGAGGAAACCATTGCCTTATGGTTTGTTGAGAGAAATCCATATATATGGAGAAGCATTAATATTATCTTTATCAGTGCATTATTCCTCACAGATAACAAACTGACGTTTCAGTAGAGACTGAGAACGGTCATCTAAGCAAGTGGTTCTGTCAGGGGAATTTCCGGCATCAGGGCAGGTTGGCATGGGAGAGGGGAAGAGAGGGAGAGGCTGCAGCTGTTGACGCCCCTCCACTCACTTTTTATAAGTCACCTGGCCACTCCTGCACTTACTGCCCACCCTAGGGCCAGTCCATATTTCGCATCATTCAACTGAATCTGGAAAAAACTTAACTTGATCTATAGTTAATAAAATACTGTTTGAGGCACACAAGAGCGATAATGTACAGTTAGTTCTCAGTTATGGAAAACAGCATGCCTTAGGGCCAAACATCTTAAAATCTTCTGCAGTTAGCCAAGAGCCATTATTTAGGGACTTAGTCCCCTAGACAGGGGCAGAATTGCTTTCATTTGGGAGAACTGGCTCTGTCACTTTCCATATCTGTGATATGGAACAAGTTGTTCAGCTTCTCTGAGTCTCAGGTTCTTTATCTATAAAATGGGATAAATGCACCTATCTCACCAGGTTGTAAGCATTCAATTTAATAATTATGTAATCTATGCAAACCACGTAACTTGAGGCTTGTTACATAGGAAACAAGTGAACATGACAGCAACCATGGCAGCTCTTCCCAGACAGTTTGAGAATGGAAATATTCAGTCTTCAAAAGGTACTCGAAGATAACTGTGGGATCTACACATCAGTCAAGAGACTTGGAAGCCATTTGGGTTTGAGAATTTCACATCACCCTTTGAGACAGCTGGCAAAGCCATGAAGTTTCTCAACATCCCAGGGACAGGAATTTCTGCTCTAGAGATAGACATTACCTGTCTCAGGCAGCTCCAGAAACAGAAGAGAGGGCCTGGCCACCCCTGCAAAAGGACTTCTGCCTCCCACCAAGCCAAGGGCATACCCATTACCTGTCCTTTTCCTGACCTCACCCTTTTCCACCCACCCTCTTCTCTTTCCCCTCCCGGCTGTGAGAGCCTGCAAGAGCCTGCCTAATCTCAACTCCGGGAGTGCTCGTTGCTTTTAAAATGCCTTACCCAGCTTAATCAGTAACCAGCAGCCCTCCACTGCCAGTTTGTCGCCTGCCCTGACATGAGTTCCTTCTCCTGCCAACCGGCAGATGTGACTTTTTTAGGAAGATTCAAATCCCAGCTTGTGCCCTTCTTCCAATGACAGCCTGCCTCTCTGAAGGTTACCTGTCGCCAGCATTCTTGCTCATGAATGCAAAGTAAAGTGGGTGCTTGCCCTGACCTTGGAAAAAACACATCGTTCTGTATATGAGTTCTAAAAAAGAGCATTTGACATTTGCCATCTTATTTGTGTCATGACTGAGAAAAGGAAGCCCCACCTGGCAGGTTACCCTCTTAGGTTCACGGATGTGGCTTGTGAATGGCACTTGTCAACTAAACCTAGCAATGATATTCAGCAGGCATGATGTGGAGAAAATGTTAATGAAATCCTGCCTAACTGCAGAAACACATTTGAATAGAATCAAAGTCATATGTGGGATTTTTTTTTCTCTCCTCTACTGTCTCCTCTGCATATATTAACCTTTGCCAGCTTTTTTTAAAAAAAAAAAAGCACAAAACTTGGATGATTCACTCATTCAATCATTCAAGCATTTATTGACCACTCATTATGTACCAGACCTTGTACCTAGCACTAGAATAAAAAAATGAATGAGGCATAGATTATTTTAGGCAAATAATCTATTATTCAACATCTTATGCTAAAAATCCAAATTCTCAGTTTGTTAAAAACAAAGCAAAAAGACTACATGCAATTCTGGACCTGCGCATCATTTGGAAACAGGCAAAGGGAAAGGCAGGTCTTACAAAGAGCAAGTAGTGTTAAATTAGCTAAGCAGGCTATAGACTTGGGAACATGTTGCAAAGGAGAAAGGCAGGTTAGATTATGGAAAAGAGACATGCAAGTGACCCGAATGGATGGGATGAACTTGGGCAGTCTTTTGGAAGGAGAGTGCCCAGACATGCCATCGTTTGTGAAATAGTC